AAAAAAAAAGAGAGAAAAAGAAAAAGAAAAAGAAAAGAAAAGCAAGAAAGGGACATAAAACCTGAAATAGGTATAACGCTTTTCAAAAATGTTTCAATGTTTTTAGTATAAAAAAAATATTGGAGAAGGAAAAATATATTTTGAAGACATCTTAATAGGATGGCGAGTTAATGATTATGCAAAAATAATGATATTTTGAAACAACAGTTTTTCGTTTGTTTTTATTTGAACTTAAGTATAATGTAAATCCTTATAGGAAGGTATTATGATAAGTAATATTTCACGTAATCCGATAATATACGATATTTATGTAGCATTAAAAGATTATACCACTCCTGCTGTCATCTTAGTTTGAAGTTTTAAGATGTATTGTAATTAGTATTTTTATATATTCTGGGGCTAAAAAAAATCATTATGGCGGATATCTCTTTAAAAACATTAGGCCGTTTTGGTGTAAAGCCATAAACGACCCTAGGTCATAAAAACATACATTTGAAATGAACAAAGCATAGAACAATAAAGTAAACTCAAAATAGAACGAAATATTGGTATGTGAAATTGGCAAAGTTTGAGAGGAAATAAAATGTAATATAATACTAACGAAGATGATAAAATTACAAAACGTTTCGATAACAAAAGTTATTAATTGTACAATTTTCGAAGTGAAAATTAACAATTCGCGGAGAAATGCTTCTCTTTGCAAATTTTAACTAAAGTGATTTATTTTATAATTTTGCGTGTGTTATGTTCTATAAATCCGGCTTCCCAGACAATGTAAAAAGGTCTTCTGTAGCTTTGCAATTAGAACTGAATTGTAGAAATTGAAAAAGACATTTTAGTTTTTGCATGCTAATATTGATAGAAGCCTTTTCTCAGTCGAATCGTAAAAGTGAAAAAAAAACCTCGTATAGAAAAGGTACTTTAAGGATTCAAGCTGGTAATCCTTCTAGCTGATCCACTTTACCAGAAATATAATTCACGTGTTTTAAGGTTATCTATATATCGCAAACTGACACCAACCCTTCATTAAACTCTCAAGGTGACTGACATATTCAAGATATTATTACTTCAACTTGTCAGTCAAAAGCATGTGTCATGCCTGATTGCCAACTCAATCCAATGGCTAACTAAGCCTTCTAAGCGCCTGGATGTTTAGTTTTAACGGAAAACTGTCACTTTCGTTTATAGTAACAATTACAAGTGTTTGAATACTGATAGAAATAAGTAATTTATATGTTCTGTTAGTACGTAATCGTCAGCACTGTGTGATTCTATGCCTTATGGGTCAGGGGCTATTCCAGCATTTTCACTTCGAGCTCTCCAAAAAATCTCCCTAAAAAATCTTCCTAAAAAATTACACATTTCTACCTTACAGATTTACATGACAGACGCTTTTCGCTTTAGAAAATAATTGAAATATAATAGGAAGGAAGAAATGTGAAACTCCAGGATCTTCTGAATGGAGCTTTGATGTATCAGCGTTTCAATGTTCATCAGGTTCACCTCAAGCTAGTCTTAATTTTGCTATGAAATTTGAATAGAGCTTATCAATAATAGAAGTAAGTATTTGTAAGCTATGTTTGTAATATTTTGTAGTTTATTCTTAACATTTAGTTTACTAATATTTCTAAGAAAAGTATGTTGGATGGAGAAAGATTGAGTGTTATTTTTCAGATTCGCGCCTAGTGCTTTTGAGCTATGCACCAATTATCTCCTTCAAAATAGTCGTTCTTGTCATATTATGATTTTGAATTTCAGCTTAGAGATTGATTCTGCTGTTGACATAAATTCAAGGCTAATTCCTTGAACGGTTTATGTAGCTGTCGGCAGCGAATCGCAAAACAATCTGTGCTAGACCGGAGTGCCAGCTTCAGTTCAGTGACAAATGGCTTCCGTTTTCCATCAGTAATACGAAGAAGCTATTCTTATTCTTGACTGAAATATCTTTAAACTAAGTATAATTTACGAGTCATTTGGATCAAAAATACGTCGCAGTTATTTTTTAAGTAGAAGTAGAAGACACCGAAGTGTCCTGACGCGTAGTGGTACTATGAATACTCGTTTGATGTTATGGCCTGTCTTAGTCCAAGAAGACCGTTCAACGTCTTAGCCATTTTGTCAAGTTTGCCAACGATGGAAGTCCGAATCTGATGGTTTTTATGGATCGGTTTCAGCACATTACACTGATGCTAAAATAAGTAGTTAATTGGAATATTTTTCATGGATTCATAACGAAATTGTCACCTTATATAGCAGACGTTTTCGACCGTATTATCTCTAGCATACACAAGAAAAGTGTCTGTTAAGGATATATGAATGACTGAGCTTCATCTGTTAAAACGATCGTGTGGGAATGATTTAAAATCTTACCAGTGTTTTCACTACTTTCGTTGCTCCCGGGACTTCAGTGGATTTTCAGTTTCTCACATTTATTTGGAAAGTTTTTTATGAGGTAAGTCATAAAATAGACGCAGTTGTGTCGCGTGTGTACAGTACCGAGGTAGATCAGTTGTCCGTGTTTTTAATGATCGACTCCTCCTACACTTATATGCTAATAAAAGAATCGATCCAAAAACCCATTAGCCTAATGGAAAACGGATCAGCAGAAAAGACGTCATTGTTAGCCAATAAACGCTCAACCATAACTGAGTCTACCATACTAGTAAACCAAGAATTTTTTTCTTCAAATTTTTCACTGAATAATCATGCCATTAATGCTGACTATAACACTTGCAATTTTTTTTTGCAAGTGAAAATTGAATTGAATCTTGAATCTTTCCATCTGCTTGGAAGTGTGCATGTGTGGCACTTGCTGATAAAAAGCCTTCTCAGTTCAGCTTAATTATTGATAATTATGATTATTTTGCGATATTCATTACAAGTCGGATCGGGGCTCACGAACTCATCCAGGAAATTATCCTTGTAGATCTTTGTCAATAGGTAATTGCAGTCGTTATCGCAGTGCATTAATAGTGTAGAATGTATCAGTCGGTCCTGAGAGGTTCGTGTTTGAGAGGCATATTGCTTATCGAGATGTTGAGTGAGGCGGGCACTTGATGTTCTTACAAACGACTAAAAGGATGGGTTATGTAACAAGATAACTTGCAAACACTTTTATACCTGGTCAGTCGAGGGAAACTAGGGTATAGTATTCGTACAATAGATACCGCTGTGTTTTTTGATTACAGACTCATTTGCTCGGGGTTTATAGCTTCATTTTAGTATCAGAATATTCACAGATACGAAAGGTAACGTAAAGAATGCAGAACTTCAGCAAGACTCTGAAATTCCACAAACCCACACAGGAACACATGAATATTCTACACAAAACTGTGGTTAATCCTGAGCAACAGAGAACTCGATACTGGAATATTTATCTAACCTTTGACGCCATGGATCGCATGTCTTAAAGTCTCGTTCGAAAAGAAAAAACGACGAAGGGAATGAATCATAGGAAGAAGAAAGAGGAAATAAATGGGAAGAAAAAAGAAAGGAAAAAATAAAGATAAAGGCATAGAAAAAAAGAAAGGAAGGAAGAAAGGAAGGAAGGAAGAAAGGAAGGAAGAAAGAAAGAAACAAAGAAGAAAGAAAGGTGTATTAGATTTTTGTTGATTTTTCGTGAACATTTAATATTGTATATTTATAGAATAAAAACACCAGA